CCGTTGTGGTCAATCAGAGCAATTCCACTACTGCGGCCGTGCTCCGGCAGTGCGGCGCCGTGCGCCACCCTCTGTTCCGGCGTCCGGCAAATAGAATCAGTCCTATTTTCGCCGGACGCCGGAGCACCTCCGCAGTCAATGGACAGAAATCACAACTGCCCAACAGGAAAAGGAGCAAGCACAACTTCCGTTTTTCACAATAAATCGATAAACAAAAGGCGTTTTTTGTTTCATATGCACAGGTTTAACAACTTTTAACAACTATCAATGGTGGCTGAAGTTTAAATGCACAAAAGTAAGCCATAAATACAGTTTCTACTATCAAAGTAGTCACACTTTGTAGATCCAAACACTGCTGATCTCTCAACACAAATGATGGGCAGATTAAACAGTTCATTTCGATGCTTCTCCCACACAACGGGTGTTTGGATCTAACTTCCGCGTTTATTGCTCGGACTGTATCGCAAGATCTCAAAAATCCCGCGCATGCTTGTTTGGCACCTCAGGTCTCCGCACCGGAGCGGAGCCGTTGTAGAGCGGGTACCAGTAAAAATTGAGTTCGGAAGCGAGCGGCTGCGGAAGGCGGGGGCGGACCGGAGCGGAGGTAGTGGAATTTGGGGGTAACAATTTATAAGAAATTGAAAACATTAAGGCTCTCTTTAGGCTAAAAATAGTGCAAAAAAAGTCAATATCTCACATCACCACCTAAATCAAATTGAGTATCCAAGGATACATTCAGATACATCCAGTGAGCTGTTAAGCTCAGCATTGACACAGGACTGACATCTGAGCTCCAAATGTCACTTGTGAAACTCAGAGCATGAGACGCTTTCTTTAAGGAGTCCCTCGATGAAAGAATACACTGGTGGAGCTCTAGAAGGGCTACGTCGGCGAAATATTTACGTCCCGGTAGCATGTAGCGAGGTTCCAATTGGGTTAGTAGTCGGTTGGAATCCGGGGTCTTCCACAACTGAAAAATGCTGGTCATCTAGTCCAGTAAACTAAATGATTTTACGGGTAATTTGCTTAGCCTTTTGACTGTCGCGCTCGCATGGGCAAGTGCTTCCAAGCGTCAGCTGCGTTAGCTGCCGTCTGACTGTGGCTGCATTAGCAGGCTTCTTTTCATTGTCTGCGGTGAGCCTCAAAAACTCACCATGCTCCACCAAATGTTTAGTCTTTAAATGTCGGATCAAATTCGTTGTGTTGAATTTTTTTGAAGTGCTTCCTCCGCGGGGTATGTTTTCGTTGCAAGTGTTGCAAGACGCAAACTTAATATCACTCTCGCACACCGTAAAGAAGTTCCACACAGCAGACATGTTTGTCTTTGCGGGTTTGCCGCCACGCGCATGCGCACTAAGCGGGGAGAAGCGGAAGGGTGAACTACCGGCTGGGAAGAGTAAGCGCCAGTGCCAGTTCGGAAATGAAAGGCAGTGATCGGCGATCACATATCACACACTTTTGCAGGAAAATCGGCCGATAATTATCTGTGGCCGATCAATCGGAACACCCCTAGAGACAACCCATAGAAGCACTGATTTGATCTCATTTCAGAGAAAAATAGAACAGGCCCCTTTGTGAATGGTCATGAAAATAAAGAAAACACATTGAATGAGAAGGTGTGTCCAAACTTTTGGCCTGTACTGTCACCACAGAATCTCCTCTCCCCTAAAATAGCTGCTACTTACCACATGGCCATATTTATGGTGGCTTTTTCCTCCTGAAGGAAGGATTTTAAGTTTGCTGAACTTAAAGCCATTTTCCCTCTGTTTTTCTCTGTCTGGTTTGATGACGTCACTTTTGTGAAGCACATTTGTAATCCTGGACCTATTTTCACACAAAACCTAAAGTAATGTTTCCCCCTGTTCGAAAATGAGCGCTTTCTTGGCATCAAGATGCGTCCTTTAAAATTTAGATGTCGTATGTGAAATCCATGGCACGAAACAAATGGAATTAGAAAATAACTTTTTTAGACTCATTAACTTGCATTCATTTTATCATTCTTCCGGGGACCCATAGTCCGGAAGTAGATGGGCGTGACTTAGGCTCCCTATAAAATCGCCACCACCACTGGTGTTGCTACACCTATGAATACAAATAACTCTCTGTTGATGTTGGAAGCTAACAAAAGGCAACTCTTTGTTCTCCGCCATGACGTGCTTCCTTTTAAGCTCTTTGTGCATTGCCGATGTGCTTCTGTAAAAGGAGTTTCACTTTGCGGAGTTTGTACTCTACATGCCTTTTCTTTGTCTTTGTATATTCCAAAACCTTAGAGCTACGTTACCGACTTGCCGTATTTTCTTTCTTCGGTGGCAAAGGTTGATTGTGGCCACTACTGCACATGCACCTCTGAGCTAAAAAAAATAAAATGTGTATAAAATAAACTGCAAGTTGACTATTACATTAATTGTCGACATCGTGACGAGTCGACAAATTGTGGCAACATTAGTTCATATTGTGGTGTTCTACATTTCCCACTGCGTCTGTCAACATACAACAGGTTGTACAACAAGCCATTTTATTATTTAATCAACTACACCTCTGTGTAATGAGTCAATTTACATGTTATTTATTGGACCATAAGACATGAGATTCCATAGGAAATATGGAATCAACCTTATGGATCTGCGGGTACTGTTTAACCAGACGATTGGAACTTTTCATTGCAGGGATTATGTAAACACTTCATATTAACTCGGAGACAACAGAAGAGAGTCAAGTTTTAAAAGTTTAAAGATTTAGTACTAAACAAATTAAAACTAGACTAACTTAAACACTAAATGTATGGTGTAACTAGGGTGGAATGAGACGGAGAATGTTGTAGTGTGGAATGTTGTTCAGAACCAGCAAATCCGAAGAAACGATTAGTTCTGGTGGGAATGAAGGTGATGTCTTCGCGCTAAGCTTTCATTAGGAGATTCATAAACACATTCGACGCCATGTTGTCGCTCCACACATACCCTTAGAATGAGACCTCCGTACAGATCCAGAATGCCAGGTCCTCGGACCCCTCTTTCAGTACCGGAGCCGATGAAACAGCGTCAGCAGTACGACAAACTAGTCTTTGGATTGTCTCCAGGTAAAAAGCGACAGTTAGTTAACAGCGTCAGATGGACCCAGAAGGTCAGTGAGTTCAGCATTTATTCTGAAAGGAACCGTTGCAGCAGGTGGAACAGCAACAGGTTTTCCAGCTTGTCGCTTCTTTCAGCTGAAGAGGAAAGTTACGGATTGGCCACTCCGTCTTCAAGTGTTCTCTCGAATGCTTTGAACTGGCGTAAAAGATGACATGGGCATAGTTTTATACTTCGGATGTTTTGGTTTATGGTCGAATGAAAAGATGACAGATTTACCAAGCACCACCAAACCCACGCCTCCGTCAGGTCTGTCAGAATCTGATTGGATCAGTAAAAGCAGTGTTATGTCTTAACGCTACGTGAGATCAGTCCTAGTGGAAACATTTAAAGTCATATTACTTATTATATTCTATAGGATTATAATAAAGTAATTAATATTTTGATTTCACAGATTGGTCACATCTTATTGACGAACACTGATTAGCTTATTAAAAATAGAGTTCTTTGATATATTAAAAAGAGAGTCCAAGAAGCTCTTGGGCTGGAAAGGAAGCAGTTTATAGCAAATGCATGAGACCTTGAGGCCATATATCATGCAGACTAGTTCTGTGTCAGAGGAGAGGGGGAATGACTTGGTGGAAAACAGTCATTTCATTCCGTTACATCTGTAATTCCTTTTCTATAATTTATCCAAATAATATTCTTACTGATGAAATTTAAAAAGATAATGAAGAGGTACAAATTATGTTTAAGTAATAATTAATATTCATAATAACTGCACTAGTAGGAATTTAGCATCTTAATTCATGATGATGTCCTGACCAGTTGTCAACAGTTAAACCTTTTTGTGTTTTTACAGAAACTCAAAAAAGGCTATTAGGCAAATATTACTAAATGTGTGAAACACTGAAAAAACCTTTTTAATGATTATTTCTGATCATAATCAGTCACTGAGTTTTTCATGCAGGCTGAACATGAAAATAGTCTCCTACACCTATCTTCTGCATTATCTATTGATAGAAAATAGACAGTGAAACTGTTAAAATCAGATCTACATCACACTGTCGCCTAACATTCATGGACTCGCCCATCTTGACTCATGACGTGGAAGGCTGTTTTAGCATCCAGGAAACTGGAGAGAATGTCTCAACTAGTAGAAGCTAACTGTTAGCATTACCAACTCCACTACACAGCAGAACTCCTCCAGGCTTGTGTTATTTGTGGAGATGGAACAACATTGCAAATCAATTGCAGGGTAAACTTTTCTAAACAAAATCTCTGAAAAGGAACAAAATATTTTTCAAGTGTTCAGAACATTTATAGAATGTAATCATGCCTTTATCAATAATGTATAAGATGTGTGTGTGATTTATGTAAATACAGACGTGAAATCAGTTCGTGTAAAATAATCGTGTAATCATGAAACTGATTATTTCTTTGACTACAATCATGCCACCAAAATTTATAATTGTTGACTCCCAAATGCCAATACGGCAACCCGATGACATCCTAATAAGCAAATTGGATGAGTGCATTTGCTCTCTGTACAAACTTTGGGTCCTACTGAAGATTTCTCATTGACAGTTTACCTTTATCTCTTACCATTTTCAAGCTACAACCCCCTGAAAAGGTCCTGTCAAAATTTAATATTTTCTTGAAAAAACTGGCACCCAAAAGGTTATTTTGAATTTTTTGCTTATCATTTGTCTTTTCTTGCACCAAGTACTGCAGCAATTTCCTAATGTTGTGATTCTCGCACAAATGACAATAAAACCCTTCTGGTTCTGATTCTAACCGCTTACAGTCAGACGCACCGGAGCTGTAACATGCAGACTCCAGACCAGATTCCAGTTCTGGTTTGTGACTGTTGCAGCCTATGCCTGACGCTGTTGTCTGTGGAGTACTCCTGACATATTTTGTTCCTTTTAGGACCCTGAGCAGCTGCAGGAAAATGCCAACCAGATCCTGACGGCCATCATCCAGGGCATGAGGAAGGAGGAACCCAGTAACAATGTGAAGCTAGCTGCTACCAATGCCCTGCTCAACTCACTGGAGTTCACCAAAGCCAACTTTGACAAGGAGGTGAGGGTCTGATGTAATAGTTGGAGTTCCCTAGTCAGGGATGTAGTTCTGATCTGCATTTGTGAATAAATGAGGATGTTTGTGTTTTCAGACGGAGAGGCACTTCATCATGCAGGTGGTTTGTGAAGCCACCCAGTGTCCTGACACCAGAGTGAGTACCATGAGAACTGAATCTCTTGCTGTGAGCTGGATCGTGTTTATAGGTCTTATCCTGATCCGTCCTGTCGTCTATGATGCATGCAGGTCCGCGTGGCAGCTCTGCAGAACCTGGTGAAGATTATGTCTCTGTATTATCAGTACATGGAGACATACATGGGGCCTGCTCTGTTTGCGGTAATAAACTCACTCAATATTTGGTTCTATAGAACAAAACTTGTGGTTTTGCTTTGATTAGTTGGGACAGAAGAACACTTGAGTGTAGTTTAAGGCAAAAGTTATGAATCTGAGGTCGTTTCTTTGGGCCAAAGAGTTTAAAGTCCTGTCCTGATTTTCATCAGTCTTGGTGAGCAACAGCGTTCCACTTGGGTGATGTTCTGGTTCATCGTTTATTTATTCAGAAGACAATAGGTGTAAACAGGGATAATTCCTCGCCAGGAACAGGGCAGGGTCATAAGCCTGGACATTTCCAGTTTAATGATCTGCTGCTGCACAAAGTTCAGTAGAGCTGAATCTCTAATTTCGGTTGTTTTCCAACATGTTTTTTAAATTTTGTTTCAGATCACTATTGAGGCGATGAAGAGCGACATTGATGAGGTGGCTCTGCAGGGTATTGAGTTCTGGTCCAACGTCTGTGACGAGGAGATGGACCTGGCCATTGAGGCCTCAGAGGTCTGTTTCCAGTTTGAGGACTCGTTTCAGATGTGTAGCGCTGCGTTCACTGACTGCTCGTTTCTCCTCTTGCCCATCAGGCCTCGGAGCAGGGGCGCCCCCCCGAGCACACTAGTAAATTCTATGCTAAAGGGGCACTTCAGTACCTGGTCCCCATCCTGACTCAGACCTTGACCAAGCAGGTGCTGACCTTTCACTTCTCTGTGTGCTCCTGCTAGTTTTGTGACTTCACTGTGGTTTATGAGAAATTAAATTTTTTCAAACTCTGCAGGATGAGAACGATGACGACGATGACTGGAACCCCTGCAAGGCTGCAGGTGTGTGTCTGATGCTGCTGGCCACCTGCTGCGAGGACGACGTGGTTCCTCACGTTCTGCCCTTCATCAAAGAGAACATCAAACACCCCGACTGGCGCTACCGTGACGCCTCCGTCATGGCCTTTGGCTCAATCCTGGAGGGACCCGACCTGAACCAGCTCAAGCCCCTCGTCATTCAGGTGCAGACCTAAAGCTCTAGACCAGGGGTTGGCAACCTGTTCCCATCAAAGAGCCATTATTACCCGTTTCCCACAGTAAAGAAAACACTGGGAGCCACAGCAGCCGCGGCGTTGTGGGCGGGGCCTACCCTCAGACAGCAGAGAGCTGCTCACAACAGGTGACAGCAGCCGGTACCGGTCGCTAGTGTACGTCAAAGTTATCTTTCATAAGACGATAATCAATAAAACAATTTATATAAAGTGGATCCAGAAGTTGTAGCCCGTCTCTGCCGACAATATTTAGATATTTTTCACCCTGTTGGTGGTTTTACTGAGCAGGTGCCACTTTTGTCATACTTTTCTTTTTAAAACATGTTTAGACTGTTCAGAATACAAATCCAGGCTCTGTCACGTTTGATTGTTGTAATTAAACTTTGTAGGTGGGGAAGGTCAGAAAAGGATCCGATCATTTTGTTTTTCCCTCATTTACAGCGACGGAGACAACGGCGCAGTGTGCCTGGCTCTGGTGTTGATCAAGTTTAATTTGTAACAATTTTCACAAGAAAACAGTTAAAAGCAGGACTTGTGTTGGCCAGACAGTTCCCGTATTTGACCGTTTATTTTGACGGAGAAAGAATAGAAAGAATTACCCCGACGCATGCAGACGAACTGACATTTTATTCTACGCACATCGCAGATGTAGCTAAATCACTCAAGAAACGATTCCCATCTGAACATCTGAGCTGGACACCGCTCAGCGCAGCTCACTGTCAACGTGTACTACATAAGGTCCACAGCGAGCTGAAGATGTGGAGAGGGGCTTGGAGCACGTCGCAGAACCAGAGCGCATGCGGGAAGGTTCCTCCCACTGAAGCGAGACTTGTCACTTAGAAAATGTTCCCTGATTATGAAACTTTGGCTGAATAGCGCTTGTTCCTGTGTCCAATGTGGCGACACATCCAGGAGCCGTCTGAGGAGAATCCCAGAATCTCACATCCTCTTCAGCTCAGGAAGCGCCGATATGATTACGCACAAGCGTGACGCGTCAACCCGGTCTCACAGTAAGACCGGGTTGGACCTGTTCAGGTTTACGCAGACAATCTTTACATTTAGAATTGGCATACAGATGTAAAATGTATGCAGTAAAATATAAAGCTTTTCATTTAAATATCCATTCATTATTTTACAAGCACAGAGAGCCGCATCAGATGGATGGAGGAGCCGCGGGTTGCCGACCCCCGACATAGACCTTCAGTTTTTGTGAGTGATTTCTGATCATGCTCTCCTCTCCAATCAGGCCATGCCGACCCTGATTGAGCTGATGAAGGACCCCAGTGTGGTGGTGAGAGACACCACTGCCTGGACGGTGGGGCGGATCTGTGAGCTGCTACCAGAAGCAGCCATCAATGAGGTCTATCTGGCCCCCCTGCTACAGTGTCTGATTGAGGGTCTAGGGGCGGAGCCGAGGGTGGCCTCCAACGTCTGCTGGGTGAGCTGGAACATCCAAAAAGTATTCCTCAGCTGTCCATCTGAGACTGAACATAAGTCCAGGCTCAAATTCTAGTTTATTTTTCAACACTAATCAGAAAAGTAAATTATGACTTGTTAAAATCCCCTTGTATTCATACTTCAGTTTATTTGTTCTGTAGAGGCTTTATGACATTATCCATTTTTATGCATCTAAACATTTTCAAACTGCAGTGAAGGGAATCCTACATGGACGTGGTAAAACTTTAACTCTGCAGCTTTTTGGGGTTTATTATCTGGGTTAAAATAATCAAATCACTAAATTACTTCCTGCCTGGTTTTGGACACTTTATTGTGAAACTGAAATAAATTACAACATTTTGGTTGGAGAAAAGTTCCTAAGGATCTGCTCTGTTAGACATCATGTTCTTATAAAAATACAGCATGAACCTGCTGATCATGGATTGGTGCCGATTTCTGACTCGAGGACCTCCTCGGGGTCGATGCAACACACCAACATGTGTTCTCTGGTCCTTCAGGCCTTTTCATCTCTGGCTGAGGCTGCATATGAAGCCACTGACGCAGCAGAGGACCAGGAAGAGCCCAGCACCTACTGCCTGTCCTCGTCCTTTGAAATCATTGTCCAGAAGCTCCTTGAGACCACAGACCGGTAAAGTCCAAAGATGTAATGTGACCACTTCCTGTTTTAGTCCAAATGACCAGAGTATCATCTTCCCACAACTTGGTTCTGTAGGAACTTAAAACGACAACAGCAGCAGTTCTGACTTTTAGTATTTGTCAGCTCACAGACAATCCAAAGTTTAGCAGCAACTCTGAGGTCAAAGGTCAGGGCTTGTTTGACTGATACGTTAAATGTTAAAGTATTGTGCAGGGGTGGACGCTTGGCCTGGCAGAGGGCCAAGCAAGGCCTGTAGACCCACCAGGCTTATAGAGCACTTGGGGTAAATCCTGGCGCAGTAGTCGTCTAATGACATATATACTTCTATTATATAATTATGCGCGACCACTGAGACAAGGAGCTGGAGAGAACCGACCAACTGAGCATAGAGCTGCTGATCAGTCGTGAGAAATGAACGTGTGAAAGTGACTGTGTGTGACCTGCAGTAACGGTGTAATTGGAGTAAGCAGCTGTTAAATGTCGTTCGTGTTCAGTGTTTCCCTTACATAGGCGTCGCCACGGCTGAAATCCCAGTGCCACGCCTTCAAGATCCCAAGTTTTATTTATTTATTTATTTTTTGCACCGTTTCCTGAAGAAGCAGCGGTAACTACTCTGTTGTTGCTTGTGATCACAGCCAGCAGGCAGCAAGGAGGAGGAGGAGGCAGGGCAGGGTGGTTACAGCTAGGGATGAGCGTACGGATAAAGCATTTTTGATGAAAACGAGCATGAAACGAGTAAAACTCGTAAATATCTGTAATCGTGCTGAAGGAAAATCCTCATTAAAACTTACTGTATTAGCAGGTGCAGCTGCTACTGTATTAGCAGCAAAACAACAAACTGCATGCATGCAGTTTCTCAGTGTCTTTAAAACATCACCTCCACCATAAAACTTTTTCTGATGCTCCAAATACAGAAAAACATCCCTTACCAGGGTTTTTAGAATAAATAAAAAAATCAGAAAATAAGTTTAAATGTTAAATAATAGTTAACATCACTTACATGCAACAGCAAATTCTCTCATTGCTACTGAGCATTTTCTCCACTTATGTGGTTATGATATAAGGCTGTTGCTGTAACTGGGAAGTGAACTGTGCTGGGCCAAACTAGGAGAATATTAAGATTTTCTGAGGGAAAGAGAAAAACAATTGTCTACCTTTCAGAAGAGGAACTGGCAAAAAACTACATGGAAAATATGTGAAAACGTTTGTTTTTAACCCCAAATTGAACAAGTTTACCTAGATGTTAAAAAGCAGCTCAGATGGTGAAACTGCAACTATGATTCTGATAACAAGCTAACTAATTGAACTAGCTCCTCTTAAGATAACCGGCTAGCAGAGCTTCTGACTGACAGTTTATGTGCAGCAGCAAATCAACTATCCTGATTAACAAGGTTATAAACGCTCATAAATGAAAAATCACTTTGATGTGTGGGGGAACTTTTCCAGGCCCTCTTTAGCAGGGTGGGACTGGGACGAGAGTGCTGTAGCCTTTTAGCTGGAAGCTAACCGGAGCCTGGGGCTAACATTACCACCCGGTGGAACACTAGCGACATGAAGGTGGGTTGGTTCACCGGCACGTGTCGGAGTCAGCCCGGTAAAAATGATTAACGACACCGAGCGGACTCACGTTCACATTTGAAAGCAGCGCTGATTCCAGAAACCTCAGCACAAAGTGTGTTCGTTGCTCTGAGCCAGCATGACGAACAAGGGAACGGCGCCGCTAACTCAGTTCGGGTGTTGCTTTCCACCCATCCTAAGGTTCTACATAGGGGGCGGGCGTATTACGTGAACAGACTCATCTGATTGGCCGCATATCAGAAGGGCTACATTTGATTGGTCAGATAATACTTCCACGTAAAAACAGAGCTGGTTTACAATAAGTTGATGTATGACACGTATGGAAATGTTGAACCAAACATTTATCGCCGTTTTTGACGTGCTTTGCGATGGGCCTATCGCACGTCCTGTTGTCCCGATGATGATGATTTTTCGATAAATTGTGCAGTCCTAATTTAAATGAAGAAGATTAAGAAATGCTTCATCTGACATTCTAATCAACTTACCTATGGCAATGTGCAGGCGGTGTCCGAAGCATGAAAGTCTGGTCCAGTTGAGTGCGACAGCTTTCACAACGTTGGCCCCGCGATATGTTGTCACGCACACCTGTTTTTCCTCCTGAAGATTCCACGAGCTGAGGAACTCTTAGGCCTTTGCCTATACCGGTATGGTCCTCGGGGGAAAAACTTGTTTCAAGGCACTTGTTTTGTCCACGTAATGTATTGTGAGGCTCATGTAGGGGTCTTATGTTCGGCTTGACCACATGTCCGTGGTGGACGCAAACAACTCCACAGACGATAATGCATTTGACACCTCGGTACGAACCTCTTCATATAAAGCAGACAAAGCGACTTTAGAGAAGTATTTCTTGGTGGGCAGCTTGTAGCGTGAATCAAATCAGGGTTTCCCCCATCACTTTATAAGCCTGGCGGCATGCCAGGCTTTGCTTGCCCACCCGCCAGGCTAAGCATCATGTCCCGCCCCCCCTCCCCGACCCTACCATGTCCGCTGACATGAACGGCGCAATGAAACTAGAGCCCTTCATCAGCTGATACTGGTAAGAAATGGCAACGGAACGTGTGCAACCAGCCCCTCCCTCACAAAGAAGTGCTGCGGGACTGAGCACGTGGACCCCGACCCCCCCCCCCCCCCCGCGCAAATGTTTTAAGCATCTTTGTGAAACCTTTTTCCACACTCTGAATGGGCATCATATCCATGGCTAAACAATGCGGCACTGCGTTAGTTAGTTCTCCCCAGCGTTTGCTACTTTAGTCATACGGAGTGCAGCTATTTATAGCTGCGGTGATTGTTTAATACGGCTGGGGGTAAACAATTATTTTTAAAACGATTATTCTGACGATTATTTAATCGAATAGTCGACTATTCTAATGACTATTTAGACAATTAATCTAGCGATTATTTTTCTATTGCACAATTAATAAAAACCAGAAAATCTCAACTAAATTCCTCAAAAAACTTGATAAATTCTTACTGTAAGAGAATAAACAGTACAGGCTTCCATTTTGTATAACACTGCTTGTATTGTGTTGGTTGGTTATGTTCTGGTGACGTGTAGAACTTGGGAGTGCAGGCTGCTGCCTGAGAGGTGGTTGGAGACGGAGTGTCTCCATGCTGCTTTGTTTTGGTCACTTATGTGTGTGAGGCGAGTGGTGTTACGACTCTTCCTGGGGAGTTTTGCTTGTGTGCAAAAAGGAAGGGACAATAACGGGATTTAAAAGTTAAAATGATGATCAGGTTTATTTACAACTACAAAAAATCATAAATCTTTCCATCCACAGGTTGGGAATAATAAAACTAATTCTGCCTGTGGGGAATTAAAACAAAGTACAAATAAGTAGGGATGTCCCACTGGGCAAAGATTACTGGGTTCTGGACCAAAATAAGGATCTCCAAAGGTCCAAACTCTAAACTGGGTGGTTAAACTAAACTGAAACCCCACAACTCTAATTGTAATAAAAGGGAGATCTGCACCACAAAAAAGATGAACTCTAAACCACAACGTATGCAAACGCAAGAAGCTGTTAGCGAAAATGCTAACAGTAGCTTTACCAACGTTAAGTTCAAGTTACCAAGTTTAAATAAACCAAAAACACCCAGCAGCAAACAGACCAGCACGGAGGAGAGACTGCTACCACCAAAACAGCTCTCCTAATGTCTGAAAGAAGCTCCTTTATGAAGGGAGAAACGCTCCCGGTGATGTCCTACATCTGCGGTAGAGACGAAGCAGCGCATCTTACCCCGGAAGTTGTCGTCCGTTGCCGGGAGACAAAGGCGGACAAAACAGGAAAGGAATCTAGTAACGGACGGACATTGTTCCGGGTCTTCGGTATGTGGCGGAGATGTTAGTGAAGGTGGAGAAGAGGGCGAACTAGAGGAAAAACAGGCAGATTCCTCCTCTATTTACAAACTCCTGGGGATGCAACAAGTGGGCGCGGTGCGTTGACTACCGGATCTGCCGTCGACGTCATTGATGCTTCACTACAGCTCTGTTTGTTGAGTCGGCTTCTTTGGTGTTACCAGGGGACGCCTCTTCGCGTGCTTTAACAGCTTTGTTGTACTCTACAAAGTGCTTCTGCTTCAAATGATGAAATAGGGTTGTGGTGTTTCCTCCCTTCGCCACGACGGCCCGCCTGCATGTTCTACAAAAACTTGTGCTTTGTTGGGTATCTGACGGGCGGAAACAGAACCAGTTCTACACCACTGAAGTTGCACCTTTTTTAAAAACAAATTCAGTTTCATTCAACGAGCCGCTTTCGCCCTTCTCCTCCGTCGTCGCCATGCTTTTTCCGCCATGTGCGTATGAGAACAAAGGCACTGCGCAAGCACATTTTACCCATTCTATCCTATCACGATATTTCATTATCGTTGCCCAACATTGTACCGGTATTACCGTGAAAGGTATGTCAGCCCTACTCTCTAGGTTTTATTTTGTTAGCTAAAATCACAAACAGCTCTGGATAATGGCTGGAGACGGGGTTCTTGCCCTGCAGCAACTTTCTATTTGTCTATAGTGTTGGTGTGAAGCAGCCGTGTGTTTCTGTATCTCAGGCCAGATGGACATCAGAACAACCTGCGTTCAGCTGCCTACGAGGCTTTGATGGAGATTGTGAAGAACAGTGCTAAGGACTGCTATCCTGCTGTCCAGAAAACCACACTGGTCATTATGGAGCGGCTGCAGCAGGTCCTGCAGATGGAGGTGATGAGTGCTCACTGGAGCGTGGTCATGTTTTTACAGGGGGGGTAAAACGGCTCATTTACTCAGTTTCACAATGTCACTTCCTGTCTGCAGTCTCACATCCAGAGTACCTCGGACAGAATCCAGTTCAACGACCTGCAGTCGCTGCTCTGTGCCACTCTGCAGGTAAGATTATGCATCTGGGCTGTGATTAAATCATGCTTTTATTCTGGTGGTTTGCTTAGTATTTCCTGTTTCCCTGCAGAACGTTCTCCGGAAGGTCCAGCACCAGGACGCACTGCAAATCTCTGATGTGGTGATGGCATCTCTGCTGCGGATGTTTCAGAGCACGGCAGGATCTGGAAGCGTTCAGGAGGACGCTCTCATGGCCGTGTCCACGCTGGTTGAAGGTACAAACCTTTTGTTGCTGTGGTAACTCGAACTACTGGGGTGGTTCTCACGGTCTCCCTGCTGCTTGTTCCAGTCCTGGGCAGCGACTTCCAGAAGTACATGGAAGCCTTCAAGCCTTTCTTGGCTATCGGACTGAAAAACTACGCTGAATACCAGGTAGGGAGGCCCAGTCCTAGGATTTCCTCTGAGCCTTTTTGTGGTACCTCTGGTCATCCTTGTGACAACGAGAACATACTCCTCAACAAGATCAGCAGATCAAAGTAAATTAGAATTGGTTTTCATGGTTTCTGGTGTGTTGCTGTAGGTGTGTCTGGCTGCGGTGGGTCTGGTGTGTGACCTTTGCAGAGCTCTGCAGACCAACATCCTGCCTTACTGTGACGAGATCATGCAGCTGCTACTGGAGAACCTGGGGGTGAGACGGCCCAACATCTGGATTCTCCTGCGGTGTTGCTGAATCAGAATCATGTCACTGCAAGTTTAATAAACCTAAAACAAAAGCGAAGCTTTATTGTGGAACCTAATTGTACATTTCTTGATGATAAATCAGTAATATAACAATAATCCATCACTGAATTTCATTTAGAACCACCAAGTGGATTTCTAATGGTTTGTGTCTGAAACAGTTTCTGGTGCGACCCAGTCCATGATTTATTTTTGCCCTCTTCATTCACACGCCTCCTAACTCGTCTAACGACTTACTTCTGTGTTTAAGAACGAGAACGTCCACCGGTCAGTCAAGCCTCAGATCCTCTCGGCATTTGGAGACATCGCTCTGGCCATTGGAGGGGAGTTTAAGAAGTACCTGGACATTGTCCTGGACACTCTTCAGCAGGCCTCACAAGCCCAAGTGGACAAGGTAAGCTCAGACTCCCGACACCAGACTGTCCTTTCGACTTCCTGCTCATGTGATGTGGTTTCAGACGGACTACGACATGGTGGACTACCTGAATGAGCTGAGAGAGGGCTGTCTGGAGGCCTACACTGGGATCATCCAGGGCCTGAAGGGGGACCAGGAGAATGTCCACCGTAAGAAACACACCACACCAGTTTAGTGGTTCTGGTCTACGCAAGATGCAGAATGGGGAGTTTTTGTTGAACATGTGCTCCAATCATTCGACGTCTGTTCCTCTTCCTGTTTGAAGTCCAACAGGAGGATTTTATGATGTCGTAGAGAAACCTGGGTCTTTTTCACCTGGAAAGCTTCAGGCTGCAGCCAAAACCAAAACCGCTTTCTGGTTTTGCGGGACCCAACAAACCAACCAGCAGCTAAAAATCAAAGTCACCAACGGCTGCCCCCTTTCTTGTATGTCTGTTTTGTCCTGCAGCTGACGTGATGTTGGTCCAGCCTCGTGTGGAGTTCATTCTCTCCTTCATCCATCACATTGCTGAGGATGAAGATCACTCTGATGGGGTTGTGGCCAACGCTGCTGGACTCATTGGGTAACAAACCAGCTCCACATTTCAATAAAGAACACAGGAAAAAAAACGTTATTTTTATTGTTAATATTTATTATCGGCAGCAGCAGATGGGTCTGACTCTGTACGGGGAAAATGGCATCAGATTCGAAAGGTTAAACCGACAGTAGATCAGTGTGACCTGTTTCAGTTCTGCTTTCAGTACTGAGACCCAGATTGAATAGAAACAAATGTTTTCTCATTAAAGCTATGTTATAGTTGCATTTATTGCATCAGAACCTTTAAAACAAACTAGTCCTTACTGTCACTGTGTTTCTGATCTGCATGTCAGTCCATGTTGGGACAAGTGGGTGGAGCTTAAACTCACTTCTAAATAGAATCGGAGTTGGAATGTTTGGTCAATGAAGAGAAATCATGCACCACGCTGAACGTGTGATGTATAACCCAACCACAGCTTCTGAGACCAGCAGCCAGCTGTAGTCATAATCAGCCTGTCTTTGTTCCCGTGGTAACCAAAAAAATTGTTTGTCTGCAGCGACCTGTGCACGGCGTTTGGTAAAGACGTGATGAAGCTGGTGGAGGTCCGTCCGCTCATCAATGACCTGCTGACAGAAGGACGGCGCTCCAAAACCACGAAGACCAAAACCCTGGCCACCTGGGCCACCAAGGAGCTGCGCAAGCTTAAGAGCCAGGCCTGGTGAGAACAAACCAATACCACACCACGCTTCCTGGAGCGTAGCAGGTGGCTGCATCTGACCCTGGTGTGTGTCTGGTTCCAGATTGTTCCGGTCCAAACACAGAATGACGTGAGATCGATGAACTTTGAGGACAAATGGTTGTCTGGAATGACTTCTTCTGCTGCGCCTGCTGAGTCGGAAGAAATGACGTGATGAAGTGAGATGGATGAATGTGTGTGAGCGCTAGATATGACATCACACCACCTTCAGTTCCAGCTGGCGAACGAACCCCATCCCCTTTACCCCTCTCCTCTTCCTGGACGGCCTGTGGACTGGACTCTTGACGCCCCTTAAAGACTTAAACCCCTCCCTCTAGCCCCTCGTCCTCCCACAACCTCTCGCCGTGTAGCTGGGCCCTCCCATGACATCCTGATGATGTCACTGCCCCACCGCTGCCTCGCTCACACCGGGGGAGAGGGGGAGGAGGGGGGTGATCCTTAAAGACTTTGTGGAATCAGATTAACAAGCGACTTTGTGGACTTCTTCTGTGGAAAACTTTAGATTTTTGTTGCTCTTATTTTTCTTCTTCTGAGCACTAAAATGGCAAAGGAGACGCGACTGAGTGCGAGCGCCTCCACCTGCTCCGTCTCCAGGGATCTGACGCTCTTATCCAGCAGCTGAAACCCTTCAAAGTAAAAGCTCAGTGCTGAGGAGCGAGTGCCAAATGGAAATAGTTTAGCTGAAGCTCTGGAAGCCAGCGCTGTGAGCTGCTTCAGACGGATGTCCCCGCTACACTTGGTTTGGGAACGGGTCACTCACCGTTTTTGCTTGTTTAAAAGATTTCAGAGAATTGAAGACGTTTGTATAAGGTTATATTTTTCCATTACTTAGATGAAAAATAACGCTGAAAACAATAAAATGATATGAAACATTCCCCGAGCAGTTCTGGTGATTTAGCTCTTGTCTGGACTTCTGGACTCTTTCTGGACTCTTGATTGGAAGCTGAACTCTGGCCACCTCCCACTGTTGGTTCGTGTACTCAACGCCACTAAGAACCATGAATTTTTTATTATTTTTTTTCCTAACATTGCGGCTCATCAGCGCTCCTCGCTGCTGGAACGCTGGGTTCAACTGGTGTGAAATCACAAAGCTGTGAGCACGCTCGGTGCAGTCTGCTTGCCTGAAAGTGAGAGCTTCAAACTTTGGGGGAGAGCTTTTATTTTGTAGAGGTGCAGTAGCTGTAGGGAGGATGCACTTCCTGTGTTATGACCTTGGCAACTCGATAAGAACTGAATTGTGAATCATTAAAAGCCGATCTGCTTTTTATTTCATATTAAACTTTAGTGAATTAATAAAGTCTATATCGTACTGAACCATCTGCTGCTTTTGGATCTAACGGATCTGAGACCAGTTGCTGTTGAGCCAGACTGGAAAACCTCCGAGGTTAAGTGAGCAAAAACAATTTTCTATTGTCAACGATTCTTTTTCTTAATGAACTTTGGAAGAAGAACCAAGACAGCCGTACCTAAATGTTGAGTGGACATGTTAAAATAACATTCCTCAAACCAGTAAATTAGTTTGATAACAAATCTTGGGTCTGAATTCACCTGGGAACCTCAACCCAGACCCATACTCCAGTTCAGCATTTTTAGGGAATGTCATCACTTGTGGCTTTACTTTTGTAAATAAACAGAAGCTCCCATGTTTCTACGTTACTGCATAGTGCTGCAGATTTTTATACCAACATTTCTTTCACTCAAACAGTAACCGGACGCATTTGGTGTTAATTCAGTCTTCTCTGAAAAAATGTGACCAAATAAGCGAGACACTGGTGTGGTGCCCTTTAGTGTCCGCTTGCAGAAACCGCTGCAACTAAATCTGTTTTCTTCTCTGAAACAATGAGCAATTCATGTTGAGGCTGTTAATTTACTGTTTGTTTTGCTAAGCTTAGTTGATTTGGATGGTTGACGATTGTTGGGACTCCGGAGGTTTAAGGCTCCATTCAGATAAGCCACTTCTTGGTGAATATTCTGAACCTATCTATTCCCCTTGAATCTATCTGAAAATAATTGGTGTGTCAGTTCACTTGGCTCAAAGTTGAGTTCACACACAGCACAGCAAAATAAAATAATTTGTAAACCAGTAATAAATGACCCCCAAAATTATAGAAGCTGATGTAGTTGTATAAAACAATACAAGTCCAGTTTGTTTAGTAAAAATTGTTTTTTAGAATACAAAAATGTTTAGGGCTTGCTTTATCAAAATGGCATTTTATAATTGCACTGTAATAAATTGTAGGCCTGAATAACTTAAAAACAAAAGTTCAACAGCTGCCTTAAAAAGTTGAGTCATGTCAACTTAAATGAACACTTAAATGAACTCTGTCAAGTTGTACAAATTTCATAATAACTATGCTTTGTTTGAATATTATGTTGAGTCTAAACAACAAATCTTATTAGATTACAAAGTGGAAAAATCATTTTGTTAAACAAGCACACAATTCTACATTATGTTAACTTATAAATTTGAGTTAGACATGTATGGTTGCAAATTAAAAGTTTTTGTTAACTGAACAAATTGATTAATTGTTTAAACTCGTGTTATCAAAACGGCAGCTGTCATGCCAATACAGGCAAACGGTGAAGCAGGAAGCTATCAACACTGAAAAATGCTGGCTAACTCACCCTCATACACAATACAAGGAGCTGAGTTCTGAGCATTTACTGAGAATTACAACTTTACTTAGTGCAGTGGAGGGAAATGGCACAATGATCTTATTCCTACGACCGCCCTCCTTTCAGTGCCAACACAACAAATAACTCCACCTTTTGAACACTAAACAAAGCAAAATCTGAGAACAACACAACCACCCGCAATAAATGTGCCTAAATACCTCAAATTAGAACAAAATAACTAAGAACACAACTACCCACAATGCACCTCACCCACTGCCGCTTTCACAGTGGGCGGGGGCATTTTTTAATCTATAAATTGCAGTTTTAAGTTGACTGAATGCAGTAGAATGAGGAAAATATAATCATTTGTTGAAATAACAAGCAATTTTAAGTTTTCAATATTAAAACATAAAATTGAGTTTAACAATTAAAACTTAACAGGGAGACTAGGTGAAATAGGAAAAAAATTTAAACAACTTTTTGAGGCTCTTTTTACAGTGTACAAACCTTACTATTATTTTTTTTTTATTTGATAACAAAATCATTTTTGTTATGATAAAATAATTACAGTAGTAAATGTGAAAATAAAGCCATCTGTACATACCGGTTGATCGCAGCTGATCAGAACTACGGATCTGAGCATCGGTGATCGATTGACTAATCGATTACTGTCGCCGCCTGCGCAGCTCCGCTCCCCGCCCTGCTCTCCATCACATCTCGTTGTCTCACCGGAGGATGGGTCTACTGGAGGCTAACGGCTAACCGAGCGGGCTTCTCATGTCTCTTCTTGTTTTGGTTTCGTCCAGCGGAGCCGTTACCATCCCGAACCGGTCCGGACTCGCCGTGTCTGTGTCCCGGAGCTCCGGCGGGGAGATGCAGGAGCTGTTATGTAAGAGCGGAGCAGCTAACGTTAACCCGCCGCCATGAATGACGCGCAGCAAGAAATGTCTCCGGACTTCGTCCTGATGCGGCTCGTTTCCGCCGCTGAATACGACCGGCTGGACGAACCCGACGACCTGATCCGGTCTGTAGGCGGCGGGTTCGGGCCTGTGAAAGCAGCGCTGGGACACCGTGGTGGCGGGTTTGATCTGGACCCCAGCGGCCCCCCAGCAGGCCTCGGATCCGCATCCCCGCACTACAGCTCGCCTCTCCCCGGAAAAGGTGATCTGGACGGCGGGCTTGTGTTGACGCAGGCCCCGCCAGGTTCTGAGGCACCGCTGTCCCCGCCACCGGAGGACTTTACTGTCGCGGCACAGCGGTTTGTGGACGGTTCGGGAGGACATGGCTCCAGGGCGCAGCTCATGGTGTTTCAAAACCTGCTGCGGTCCGGAGACCGAATGCTGGAGATCGGACTGGAGCCGCCACCTGCGGGGTACCTCCAGGAGGAGGCAGAGAGACAGAGACAGCAACTAGACCCGGTACCAGGTCCTGGGAACACAACAGCTGGTCCTGGACCTGGTGGAGGAATGGAGCAGAACTCTTCCTGCATCCCGTTAACTGGCGAGACCCTGCAGCCACCACAGCTCCTGCAGTGGCATCCAGTTCTCAGACTGTCCAAAGGGTCCAACGGGCCCCAGACCCCTCAGCAGGTTCCTGGGCTGGACTCTGTGCCCGGCTCGTTCCTGTGCCACAGACATCAGTTGGCTAAGTGGCCTCCGGGCCTGCTGGACCAAGCACTGCGCCTGGGACTACTGGAACCCAGGAAGACCTGCTCATCAGGGGGCGAAGACCCTGTCCTGGTTCTTGCTCAGAGGCTGGGGCAGCTGGGAGAGGTAAGGGAGGGTGTGGGAGGTGGGGGGGAGGACATGGAACCCCCCATCCCTCGCTGTGCCTGCCACAGCATTCTCACATCTGGAGGACTTGGTGAAGACCCAAGTGACACCAGTGATGCCCTGCTGGTTCTGGAGGGACTGGGTTCTGAGGAGGTGGGTGGACTAGGCCAAGGAGAAGGCAGGGAAGGGGAGGAGGCTGGGAAAAGAGGGCAGGTAGAGGGAGTTAGTGGAGGGGGGACACCTGGGGGGGCAGGTCCTGTGTTCTCTAGTGGGACCCTGAGTGGTCTGATGCAACAGGTCCACAGACTTGCTGAGGAGGCGGGGGTCTGCACAGACCAGAACTGCCGCTCTGCTGTCTCACCCCCCATCAACACCACTACCACCTGCCTGTACCCCCTGGTCCAACCACAGACCCCCCCACCTGCTACAGCAGCCCTCAGTGGCCTTCACGTCTCCCCTGACCCAGGTCCCCGCCCGCAGCATCAGCACCAGTCCCGGTCCCAGCCCCAGAGTCGCGCTGCCCCCCCTAAACTTGGTGTGGCCTCCGGGGGAGCTGGGCAGTCTGTCTCACCTCTGGTGGTCCTGGAGGGTGAGAAGACTTCCCGAGGAAAGTCAAGAAAGGGGGAGTCCCTTAAAGTCCGGCTCAGCAAGCTGTTCAGAACCAAGAGCTCCAGTGGGGGGTCGGGGGGACTGCTGGACAAGAGGCCATCACTGGCATCCTCCACCTCATCTGGGGGAAGCCTGTTGGACGTGTGGGGTTCCACCTGCAGCAACATGGACCAGGACAGCAGCAGGTAAGATCCCTCGGGTGCGGGTCCAGTCTGATAGCTCCGACCTAGTGGATTGATTACTGAAGGTATTCAGGTTCAGTCCAGCTTCATAATAGATGTGTATCAGTCACCATGACAACCACAGCTTACTGGCCCTGAAACTAAACTAAAGTTGGAAAACTTTGACCTAAACTGATTTATAAAAACACCAGACATGTGAAACCATCACTGGGTTCTCAGCATGTTCTAAAGTTCTGTAAACGGTACAAGACACAAGAACTAGAACCCAGAAGCAGTAAGGTCCGTCGTTACTTGGTCCGGAGGAATTCAGAGTATCAAGATCAGCTACTGTTGCTGTGGGAGGGCTGATGCCATTTACGGGTGGGTTATCTGGGGTCCATCATTCCAATACAGGTTCACTAGAGGTCAGAGGTCATCGCTCAGAGAAATGACTAAAGACCCACAAACTCTGAGACTACAGGCCTCAGCTGGTTAAAGGTCATGACAGCTCACCTCATGCTGGCAATGTTTCATCTGAATCAACCTCATACAAAATGGAGAAATTCACCCACAATGCACAGCAGCAAAAACAGCAGATTCCCTCTGCCAAACACGGTGGTGGAGATGGTGTGGTCTGGTTCTGCGGCCCCAGGACTCGGGTCTACTATGAACTCCTCTGGGCACCAAAATATTTGAGAGTCTAATCTGAGAGCATCAGTCTTACAGCTGATGCTTGGACTGAACCGGGTCATGAAACAGAACCATGATCCAAACAGCAGCAGATCTACAACCGAATCTGGGTGCTGTGGTATGACCTTAAGAGAGCTGAGCACAACCAAATATTTGTAAACTCTAATAAGGCTGGGCTAGAACTCCAACAGAACCACATGAGAGGCTCCTGCTGGACCATGGGGTGGACCCAGTTATCTAAAGCTTCTGGGTTCTGGTTAAATATTTGAATGTGTCCTGTCCATGCCTGCTTCTCTCAGATCAGCTCTGATCCGACCCAAACTTCTTCCAGTTCCTGCACAACTGTTTCTACATCTGTTGTCATGGAGACCCACATCCCCTCTGCTCAGCAGAATGAGAAAGAGGAGGTGTTGTCATGGCAACAACATCCTCTCACTCAACAGAGGAAACTTCTGTGTGCTGAGATGTAGCTTGTCTCCATGGCAACAGCTTGGGAGTTTTTTACTGAGTGGCTTAGGGTGGGCTTTGAAGCAGACTCAGGTGTGCATCAGGTGGGCCTGTGATGTTACACACTGGTAGCCATAGAAACGTAAGTTGACACCTTGTTGTTGTTGCTGTTTGTCTCAGCAGGCTGCAGGTGTCACGACCTCACAGTGCCTTCTGCCCGGTGCCGCTCACCCCTGCTTTCACAGGTGAGTCCACGTGCACAGCTGTATGTGTGTGTGCATGTGAGTGTGTATACAAACATAAACATTCACCAGGAGCTGGAGAGCAGAAACCCAGTTCCAACGGACCAGTAAGATCCAGTCATGAAGGTTTCATGTGAGTCCAGCCTGCTTCAGACCCAGAGATGTGGGACTCTGGTTCAGTTCTGGTGCAAGCATGAAAAGCAGAACGGGTTTCATGTTGAGTTTTAGAGAAATCTATCCCAGATCAGTGATCTGGTACACAAACCCCCAGACAGACTCAGGTCCTCTCCTGTGATGCTGATGAAGATGTTGAGGTCTTCCTCTGAGGTTCTTCTTCTGGTCCTGACTTTGTCCCAGCTCACATCTCCCCCCCCCCCCCTTTCACTAACTCTTCCTCCTTCCTCTAACACTCCTCTTCCTCTGTCTCTGGGTGTGTCCAGGTGAGACGGTGTCTCTGGTCGATGTGGACATTTCTCGCAGGGGGGGGGGCTGTCTCCACCCCCCCACGCCCCCTCCCCCACCCAGACGGAGCCTCAGTCTGCTCGGTACTTCCTTTTCTTCACTTTCTGTTCTCCCTTCTGCTTTCTTTGCTTCTGGTTTCATGTCTTCGTTGTCAGGTAGGACTTTAGTTAAACCGGTCCGGTTCTGATCCACCGTGTGAGTTTTGGTGCCAAACGTGTTTCGATGTCTCTGTGATGAAATCTGAGTTGTTTTTAGAGGAATCGTTTGTGTTTTAAGGTGCAGGATGAGACATTTTTTGGACCTTTTTTTGCCTTATTGCTTGAAATTGTTTCACGTACCGATGGCAACCATTCAAATGTTTTGTCGTAAATAAATAATTGTAATTACCTCTGAAACTCACAATCCTGGGAAACCTCCATCCATTAGTCATCAATGTCCTGTGTAGTTAAAGTAACTTCCCAGGCCTCTGCAGCAAAACTAACAATCACACAAGCTTGGAGTGCACTGACTAATCAGTTTGCGTATCCACAACAGAGAGCTGTCACTCCACGAGAATGCGCCCCAGTTCCCAGCATGCATTGCAGGGTGATGCGGACGCCTCTGTAAGCTTAGCACACCAATCCTAGCTTTTAATAAAGGCCGTTCTGTAAACTTCGCTAACTGAAAGAAGAGGGAGAGGAACAGAAAGGGTTTGTCTTTTGTGCATCAAAGCTAAGTGTTAGCGTAGCCTTCAACAATCGTTCAGCCCCGTCTAGCGTTAGCAGGGATGGGCTACACTTGTGTGTGCCGGATTCTTTCTGGTGGGAATCATTTAGCTGTGAATCAGGAGGAACTGTCCTTTATTAGCGCTACCAGGCTGTGTGTGTGCACGTGTGTGGTATGAGGCTGAAGGGAAGCAGGAGGAGGAGCTATAGTCACTCTAATTTCAAAATCTCCTCCTCTCATTTATGATGTCACGCTATGGACTCCTGCTTTAATAAATGATCATGTCCCATCCTCTGGTCGTTCCTCTCCCCTCTGTGTGCACCAATCACACGTTCTCAGCTTGAAGCAGCTGATCTGAAGCTCTTTTAGCTAACTTCACTCATTGAATGGTTTTACAGGTATGCTGGTGCCGTACCTTAGGAGTTAAGCCGAAAAAGTGTTAACAACTAAATGAAAGCTTAAAGCTACTTGAAAAGGCTACGGCTACAAGAAAAAGCTGAATTTGAACAATGGCGTCTGCTGAAGAGCTACAAACCGATGCCACATCGGCTGTTTCCTCTTGATAGGTGACATAATGTTGTTTTCATGGCTGTTTGACAGTCTCTGCTGCGTCTGGTATTCTCCTGGATTCTGGAGGTGTGGCTTAGGGGAGGAGCCTGAAAAAGGGGGTTGGACCTTTTGAATTGTGTTTTTTTTTAATGTAGCTTGAACAGCTGTTCTTCCAGGATATCCTCCACATGTAAGTTGTCTGTGCAGGATCAGAAACCACCTGGCAGTCCGACCCGCATCGGTGTGTGTGTGTGTGTGTGCGTGTGCGTGTGCGTGTGCGCGCGTGCAGGGGGGATTTGGTGGAAGTTTTACTTTTGAGCTACTCATGAGTCTGCAGATTAATGACGCTGTGGACCAGCTTGAGGTTCAGGTTGGTCTCTGAAGATGGGAACAGGAGCACTTATCTGTCCTCCCCCATCAGGTGTGTTTGTGTCTTTGTGAACCTTCAGATGATTTTGGAGGTCCTCCTCAGCAGCAGGGGTCCTTCACTGAGCGGACCGGAGGCGCCTCAATGCAGTCTCTGCCCCCCCGACCGATGGCACTGCCCTCTTCCCTCAGCACCATCCAGCACAGCCTGAGCCTCAATGGTAAGAACAGATGGAGGTCCTCTCAGTCGGGTCTGATTGTGTGTGTGTGTACTTTGGGAGGTTGTAGAACTCTAGAAGGCCCATTTACCTTTTAACGAACAAACATTTTACAGTGTAATAGACCCGATCAGGAACTCCTGATCCGGTCCTTGTCTCTGTTTCCCTCCAAGCAGCCAGACTGTTCTCTAATCAGTTATGGTGGTTCTGGATTAACAGTTCTCCAGACTTCTTGAAAGTTCTGAACTTGATCAGGAGTTCTGGACTGGATCAGGAGTTCTGAACTTGATCATGAGTTCTGGACTGGATGAGGAGTTCTGGACTGGATCAGGAGTTCTGGACTGGATCAGGAGTTCTGGACTGGATCAGGAGTTCTGAACTTGATCAGGAGTTCTGGACTGGATCATGAGTTCTGGACTGGATGAGGAGTTCTGGACTGGATCAGGAGTTCTGGACTGGATCAGGAGTTCTGGACTGGATGAGGAGTTCTGGACTGGATCAGGAGTTCTGGACTGGTTCAGGAGTTCTGGACTGGATCAGGAGTTCTGGACTGGTTCAGGAGTTCTGGACTGGATCATGAGTTCTGGACTGGATCAGGAGTTCTGAACTTGATCAGGTGTTCTGGACTGGATCAGGAGTTCTGGACTGGTTCAGGAGTTCTGGACTGGATCAGGAGTTCTGAACTTGATCAGGAGTTCTGGACTGGATCAGGAGTTCTGGACTGGTTCAGGAGTTCTGAACTTGATCAGGAGTTCTGGACTGGATCAGGAGTTCTGGACTGGTTCAGGAGTTCTGGACTGGTTCAGGAGTTCTGGACTGGATGAGGAGTTCTGGACTGGATCAGGAGTTCTGGACTGGATCAGGAGTTCTGGACTGGATCAGGAGTTCTGAACTTGATCAGGAGTTCTGGACTGGATCATGAGTTCTGGACTGGATGAGGAGTTCTGGACTGGATCAGGAGTTCTGGACTGGATGAGGAGTTCTGGACTGGATCAGGAGTTCTGGACTGGTTCAGGAGTTCTGGACTGGATCAGGAGTTCTGGACTGGTTCAGGAGTTCTGGACTGGATCAGGAGTTCTGGACTGGATCAGGAGTTCTGAACTTGATCAGGTGTTCTGGACTGGATCAGGAGTTCTGGACTGGTTCAGGAGTTCTGGACTGGATCAGGAGTTCTGAACTTGATCAGGAGTTCTGGACTGGATCAGGAGTTCTGGACTGGTTCAGGAGTTCTGAACTTGATCAGGAGTTCTGGACTGGTTCAGGAGTTCTGGACTGGTTCAGGAGTTCTGGACTGGATCAGGAGTTCTGGACTGGATCATGAGTTCTGGACTGGTTCAGGAGTTCTGAACTTGATCAGGTGTTCTGGACTGGATCAGGAGTTCTGGACTGGTTCAGGAGTTCTGAACTTGATCAGGAGTTCTGGACTGGATCAGGAGTTCTGGACTGGTTCAGGAGTTCTGGACTGGTTCAGGAGTTCTGGACTGGATCATGAGTTCTGGACTGGATCAGGAGTTCTGAACTTGATCAGGTGTTCTGGACTGGATCAGGAGTTCTGGACTGGTTCAGGAGTTCTGGACTGGATCATGAGTTCTGGACTGGATCAGGAGTTCTGAACTTGATCAGGTGTTCTGGACTGGATCAGGAGTTCCGGACTGGATCAGGAGTTCTGAACTGGATCAGGAGTTTTGGACTGGATCAGGAGTTCTGGACTGGTTCAGGAGTTCTGGACTGGATCAGGAGTTTTGGACTGGTTCAGGAGTTCTGAACTTGATCAGGTGTTCTGGACTGGATCAGGAGTTCTGGACTGGATCAGGAGTTCTGAACTTGATCAGGCGTTCTGGACTGGATCAGGAGTTCTGGACTGGATCAGGAGTTCTGAACTTGATCAGGAGTTCTGGACTGGATCAGGAGTTCTGGACTGGTTCAGGAGTTCTGGACTGGATCAGGAGTTCTGGACTGGATCAGGAGTTCTGAACTGGATCAGGAGTTCTGGACTGGTTCAGGAGTTCTGGACTGGTTCAGGAGTTCTGGACTGGATCAGGAGTTCTGGACTGGTTCAGGAGTTCTGGACTGGATCAGGAGTTCTGAACTTGATCAGGAGTTCTGGACTGGTTCAGGAGTTCTGGACTGGATCAGGAGTTCTGGACTGGTTCAGGAGTTCTGGACTGGATCAGGAGTTCTGGACTGGTTCAGGAGTTCTGGACTGGATCAGGAGTTCTGGACTGGTTCAGGAGTTCTGAACTTGATCAGGAGTTCTGGACTGGTTCAGGAGTTCTGGACTGGTTCAGGAGTTCTGGACTGGTTCAGGAGTTCTGGACTGGATCAGGAGTTCTGGACTGGATCATGAGTTCTGGACTGGTTCAGGAGTTCTGAACTTGATCAGGTGTTCTGGACTGGATCAGGAGTTCTGGACTGGTTCAGGAGTTCTGAACTTGATCAGGAGTTCTGGACTGGATCAGGAGTTCTGAACTGGATCAGGAGTTCTGGACTGGATCAGGAGTTCTGGACTGGTTCAGGAGTTCTGGACTGGTTCAGGAGTTCTGGACTGGATCATGAGTTCTGGACTGGATCAGGAGTTCTGAACTTGATCAGGTGTTCTGGACTGGATCAGGAGTTCTGGACTGGTTCAGGAGTTCTGGACTGGATCATGAGTTCTGGACTGGATCAGGAGTTCTGAACTTGATCAGGTGTTCTGGACTGGATCAGGAGTTCCGGACTGGATCAGGAGTTCTGAACTGGATCAGGAGTTTTGGACTGGATCAGGAGTTCTGGACTGGTTCAGGAGTTCTGGACTGGATCAGGAGTTTTGGACTGGTTCAGGAGTTCTGAACTTGATCAGGTGTTCTGGACTGGATCAGGAGTTCTGGACTGGATCAGGAGTTCTGAACTTGATCAGGCGTTCTGGACTGGATCAGGAGTTCTGGACTGGATCAGGAGTTCTGAACTTGATCAGGAGTTCTGGACTGGATCAGGAGTTCTGGACTGGTTCAGGAGTTCTGGACTGGATCAGGAGTTCTGGACTGGATCAGGAGTTCTGAACTGGATCAGGAGTTCTGGACTGGTTCAGGAGTTCTGGACTGGATCAGGAGTTCTGGACTGGTTCAGGAGTTCTGGACTGGATCAGGAGTTCTGAACTTGATCAGGAGTTCTGGACTGGTTCAGGAGTTCTGGACTGGATCAGGAGTTCTGGATTTAGCGGAGATGTTCTAAGCATTCTGAACTTCTGGGTTTGTTTTTTATAACTACATAAATTCTGTGTAACATAACGGATCTTCTTTCTCAGACACCTTTCTTCGAGGTCTACCCAGACCGGTACCTCTACGTCCTGACGGGCAGAACCTCCCGCCCCGACTCGCCCCACGCTGCCCCCTAAGCAGACCCGACACCGGCAGCTTTGCCACCAGCCTCAGAGAGCTGGAAAAGGTGGGCGTCATCTTCACGCCCAGGTATGTGATTGTGAGGGGGCGGGGCTTACTTGTGTATGTATGTGTGTGTGTGCAGTGTGGCTGGTACTGGGGTCCGATGAACTGGGAGGACGCAGAGATGAAGCTGAAGGGGAAACCGGATGGCTCGTTCCTGGTGCGGGACAGTTCGGACCCCCGGTACATTCTTAGTCTGAGCTTCAGGTCTCAGGGCGTCACGCACCACACGCGCATGGAACACTACAGAGGTACCACTCAACCAGAACCACCTGGTTCTATGTGGCCCGCTGTGGGGCCTTGTGTTCATGCTGTCTCCGTCCCTGTCCTGCAGGGACATTCAGTCTCTGGTGCCACCCAAAGTTCGAGGACAGATGTCACTCCGTGGTCGAGTTTATCGAGAGAGCCATCATGCACTCCAAGAATGGGAAGTTCCTCTACTTCCTACGCTCCAGAGTCCCAGGTAGGACCTAGCCACCAGTGTGCTTCACAAAATCTATAAAGACTCAAACCGACTCTCAGCACTAGAATCCAGATGTGAGAGAAAGAAATTAGAACCAAATCAGAACTTTTGTTTAACCTAAAACTAAAATTCACAAAAAATAAACAAATCTCAGAACATGACTGAAGGCCAGGAACATTCTTGGAGTTTTCTGTGGATCTGTTTTGTCCTGACCTGGTTTGTGTTTGTTTAGGTCTACCCCCGACCCCGGTCCAGCTCCTGTATCCAGTCTCCAGGTTCAGCAGTGTCAAGTCCCTGCAGCATCTGTGCCGCTTCTGCATCAGACAGCTGGTCCGGATCGACCACATTCAGGAGCTGCCTCTGCCCACGTACGAACTTTAAACATCAGATAAGCCCCGCCCAGCGGAACGCTGTTGCGTCCTCTAATTGGGATTAGAAGGACCTCAGATACGTAACGCTGTCAGGCTAAAACATTGTTTTCACCCAACAACAGCAGTAAACAATTCTAAATGTAGTTTAAAAAGCTCCTCTGTGGCAAGGCTCCGGGGGTGGATGAGAACCGCCCGGAGTTCCTTAAGGCTCTGGATGTTGTGGGGCTGTGTTCGCTGACCCGGCTCTGCAATATCGCGTGGACATCGGGGGCAGTCCCACTGGACTGGCAGACCGGGGTGGTGGGCCCCTTATTTAAAAAGGGGGACCGCAGGGTGTGTTCCAACTACAGGAGGATTACACTCCTGAGCCTTCCTGGTAAGGTCTATTCAGGGGTTCTGGAGAGGAGGGTCCGTCGGGTTGTTAAACCTCAGATTCAGGAGGAGCAAAGTGGTTTTGGTCCTGGCCGTGGAACATTGGACCAGCTCTTTACCCTTAGGGGGATCCTGGAGGGTGCGTGGGAATTTGCCCAACCAGTCTACATGTGTTTGTGGATTTGGAGAAGGTGTTTGACCTCGTCCCTCAGGGGGCCCTGTGGGGGGTACACCGGGAGTATGGTGTACCAGGCCCTCTGATACGGGCTGTTAGGTCCCTGTATGACCGGTGTCAGAGCTCGGTCCGCATTGCCGGCAGTAAGTCGGGCTCGTTCCCAGTGAGAGTTGGACTCTGCCAAGGCTGCCCTTTGTCACCAATTCTGTTCATAACCTTTATGGACAGGATTTCTAGGAGCAGCCAAGGTGTGGAGGGCATCCGTTTTGGTGGCCTGAGGATCAGGTCTCTGCTTTTTGCAGATGATGTGGTCCTGTTGGCTTCATCAGAATGTGATCTTCAGCTTTCGCTGGAGCGGTTCGCAGCCGAGTGTGAAGCAGCTGGGATGAGAATCAGCTCCTCTAAATCTGAGACCATGGTCTTGATTCGGAAAAGGGTAGAATGCCTTCTCCGGGTCAGGGATGAGGTCCTGCCCCAAGTGGAGGAGTTTCAGTATCTCGGGGTCTTGTTCACGAGTGAGGGAAAACTGGAGCGTGAGATCGATAGGCGGATAGGTGCTGCATCTGCAGTGATGCGGGCGTTGTACCGGTCTGTTATGGTGAAGAGAGAGCTGAGTCAGAAGGCAAAGCTCTCGATTTACCGGTCGATCTACGTTCCTACCCTCACCTATGGTCATGAGCTTTGGGTAGGGACCGAAAGAACGAGATCACGGATACAAGCGGCCGAAATGAGTTTTCTCTCCAGAGTGGCTGGGCTCACCCTTAGAGATAGGGTGAGAAGCTCAGTCATCCGGGAGGGGCTCGGAGTAGACCCGCTGCTCCTCCACATCGAGAGGAGCCAGTTGAGGTGGCTCGGGCATCTGGTCAGGATGCCTCCTGGACGCCTCCCTGGTGAGGTTTTCCGGGCACGTCCAAGTGGGAGGAGACCTGAAGGTAGACCCAGGACACGGTGGAGGGACTATGTCTCTCACCTGGGCAGGGAACGCCTTGGGATTCCCCCGGAGGAGCTGGCCCAAGTGGCTGGGGAGAGGGAAGTCTGGGCCTCTCGACTTAGGCTACTGCCCCCGTGACCCGACTCCGGATAAGCGGATGAAAATGGATGGATGTAACAAAAATAAACATCTAGTCTTTCTTAAGAAGGACTAGAAATCTGAGGTAGATGGAGTCAAATGTGCTGAAGTGTAAACATCCGTCCTTGGTTAGAGGAACAGAGAAGGAGTCAGATGTTTCATTTAAATCTCACCTGTGTTGTGTCTTTAGGTCTCTGATCTCTTACCTGAGGAAGTTTTATTACTACGACCCTGAGGAGGAGACCAGCCCCCCGCTGCAGGAGGTGAGGGAGCAGAGTGGCTCTCTTCAGATGGAGTCTCAGACGTAGCAGCGGAGACACCGTGAGTCCTCCTGCACTCACACACACTCCTCACCGATCCAGCTGTGTTGGTCCTTTTGCTTCTTTTGTGAATCTTGATTGTGTTTCTTTATATTTTGTTGTTTTGTGTGTTTTTGAAACCGTTTGTGTTGATGAGATGTTCGGTTGGGATTCAGCTGAAAATGTGACCTGCTCCTTTAACAGTTTTTTTCTTTTTGCCATTTTCAGCTCATTCCTTCCTTTCTTTTCCGGACTCGTTCACTGAAAGACGTTTCAATCGTTCAAACGGAACTTGACTGCAGCCAATCAGCTCCCTCTGCTCAGTCTCGTATGCAGGCGGGTCTCAGATGATCCTCCCTTCTCTGATTGGCTCACATGGAGTGGGGAAGGGGGCAGGGGATGTGGAGACTCCGCCTCCTTTTTGATGTCATCACTGAACAGCTGGACGACTCTGATGATGACTCCGAGGACCCTTGTCTCCTCTGGGATCCTAAACTTTCCCCAGATTTAAGGACTCGTGGAAGTTCAGTTCGACGTTTGTTTGGAAACGGGAAGAAAATCATCAGTCTGGAGTTTATTTTCTGTTTCTGAGCAGGGCGAGCCTCGGATCAGCAGTGGGGGTGCTCTCCTGATCCAACTTGGACGTGGTAAAGGAATAATCAACAGCAAAAGGAATGAAATATCTCTGCTTCTCAAACGAAACCCGCTGTTTTTGGTTTAAACTGGATATTTTTGTTGTTGTTGTTGTTTTTTAACTGAAAAATCTGTTATTTATGAGTGAATCTGTGATTTTCAGCTGCAGCTTTAAAACAAATAAAAGCAGATTTGCAGCACGATCCAACAAGAACATGTGGTTCCCACCTGAAGCGTTTTAATGCTGCAGCTTCAATCCACTGGTTTCAGACGGAACCGTCAGCTGCTTCAGAACCCGTCCGGATTCTGATCAAACTGGATCTGGGTTCTGTTTTCTACAAACATCATTTTGATGACTTTCGTCATTGCTGAATGTTTTAACTGCCAGATGATGAAACAACCCGTTCCAGCCTAAGTGATGTCAGACTCTGGAAACAGACTTCATTTAAATCTTAATTTAGGGGACTTGATGTCGGATCCCGAACAGAACTTTGTTTTTGTATGAATGTGGACTGGTGAAGGCCCGGTTCTGTTTCTACAGCCAGAATCCAAAGTGATCGATTCATCAGCTCACACGTTAAGGTGAAACCAGAACCAATCTCATAACAGTTCATGCAGCTGCAGAGGTTTCAGTTCTGAACTCGTGAGTTTTGGTTCTCTGAATCGGACCATCTATTCTCCAGAACCAGAAAAGCTCCTAAGACCCAAAAAGCTCCGCCACTGCTTTAATGGGGAACACTTTAAAGAAGCTGCAGTCTGAGCTCAAAAGTTCTGTTTGGATTCAAACTGGGTCATTCTGGACTTAGAAGACTGAGTGTTCAGACATCAAAGACAGAACTTCAGGTGTGGAGGGGGCGGAGTCATTTTCAGGTACCAGGGTGGTTTATTTGATGTTCCTGCTGGTTGAAGGTCTTGTCGCTAGCTCAGAGGAAAAGCTGGTCCATTTGTAACAGAAGATTTTAAACTTGTTTCAAATTTTCAGGACAAATTTTTATCAAAACATCTGAAAAAGTTCTGGTTCTGGTTCTGGTCTAATCTGAATCTGCATGACTCCAAAACTTAGTGTTTTTATGTGTTTCAGATCAAATTCTCTGAGGGTGAAGGTTTAAAACCCCAGTTAGTCTGAGAGGTTCTGGTGGCTGTGAGGAATACCTGAGTTCACCTGCAGGACGATTAAAACATTTAAAGGAGCGCCATCTTGTTTTTTCCTGATTGAGAGGAGGTTCTGATTATTTGGTTCTGGTTTAGTTCTTTGGGTTGGATTTCAGTCGGACCGACATAAACCAGGATCCTGGAGGCGACAGTCACTCCGATGATTGAGGAAATTTGACCAAAAACTCACAGCAGGGTTACCGTGACAACAGCTGGACTATCACATCTCAACATCCTGAAGCTTCTCTGGTACCTGGAGGGCCCCAGAGGGCCCTGATGTCAGAGTTCTGGACGTGGACTGCAGGCATGTTGTTGGTGTGGAGGAGCAGGGATGTGTCGGTTAATAAAACACGGACCGACGTCTCCTGGACGGTGTCCTCAAACGTCTCAGCCATTAAAGGCAAATTTTAAAATGATCTTTAAAAATTTCAGGTTTGATTAATTCAGCCTGAAACATCCAACTACAATGATTCTACTTACTTTGTCTAAAAATAAAACCTGTTTCTGAAACAGCTTCATGTGACCTGTTGGTGTTTAAAGTCGGATCCTTTCTACAGAGTAAAATCTGTTATTGTTTAAATAAACCAGTTTTATTTAGAAGATCAGGTAATAACTTTAACCTGCTGGGCGACGTTTTTATTTCAGTTATACATAAAAATGTCTCAGGCCCACCATCAGAATCATCTACTGAACAACCAAACTGGTTTTCCTCACATCAAGTTTCAACCAGCAAACCGTTCTGGCTCACACTCGCGTTTCCAATCAGACCTGAACTAGAATCGGATCAGATCAGCATCTGGAAGCTTCTGCATGCAGTGAGTGATAAACTATAAAGTTCTGGAGAAAAGTATTTAAAATGTTAAAATAAGAAAGAAATTAGAAAATATTTACATTGTTTTCTGCTTTTTGGAGCAACGCTTCAGCGGCTTCCTGAAAGTCTGACAGAAATCTAAATTTAACTTCTAATTTATAAAGTTCTGAAAGATCCCGCTTCCCCTCCTATCGAGGCTTTTATCTTCCAGAGGTTCTGGGGATTCCAGATGTGTCCCTCCAACTGCTGTTACCGTGGCAACCCCCAGACGTGATGGATGTTTGGGTCAGTTGGTGTCTCTCTGAAGAGCTTCGGCTCCTCCGTCTGTCACCAACCCATCACCGACCCGGTTCTGTCGTAGCAGCAGGAACATGGCCTCCAGCTGTTCCTGCTGGAACCTGGAAACCAGCCACAAAACACACCGTCACACCAGAACC